TGTCAACTGCATGTGCCCTCTCGCAAAACCCCAAATCTTCCATCAATTAGTCAGGGTATTGCCACAACAAAAGTCATTGTTTGGAGAGGGATTGCTATATTTTTCCACGGGATTTTTCATGGATGGGTTGTTTGTTATTTGGTCATGGAATAAAAGACATTAACAAAGGCACTACGAAACCAAATTATAAGAAGCACAAAATTAGGATGTTGGGGCCTTGATGTTCTGCTGATTCGATACAGTCTGAAACAAAAAAGAATCAATTAAATTACAAAACGTAGATATCACAGTGGGTTTAAAACCCTCAAGGTGTCACACATTCACTTTTAATCGACATTTGTGACAGAGGAAGAGTGATTGAAAGATACACATGCCCGACGTGAGCTATCAGTCAAGCTCTACTGGATGAGTTAACGAAGTGGCGTCCGCCCGTTCAAACCCTGAGATGTTTGCCAAGCTATCCCAATTCATTCCACACCTCACAACTGGGACAATTAAAACCGAAACACAGTTGGTGTATCCGAATAGGTCTACAGAACTGCGCTCTCGTAACTGTACAACACGCGACAAGAATCGACACATGAAGGCACGCGGAATTACACAATGCTAAATTGCATAGCGCCCGCCATAAGTTTAAGCGTGTCCAACGCACACTAGTGAGAGTGTGGGCTGCGTGTCTGTGCACGACGGCTGCAAACTGCTGCTGCTGCTGCTGGCACACTCCTCGTCGCCTTCTACCATACCATTCCAAGTTCGTGCCCGTTAAATGCGAGTCAATGTTTTGCAATCCAAATTTGACGCTTTAGTAAAAGTTGCAGTGGCTCAGCATCGCAGAAATCATTCACAAGACTTTAATTATTCACATACTTTTCGACTTACTATGAACCGATGGCGTTGTTTTAGGCATCAGGGTTGATGAATAAGTTTTTTATTCTTTTACGCCCTTTGAATGCGATAGCCGAGGCCACTACCCCGACGGCTGCAATGCAGGCAATAACAACCCCAGCAATCGCTCCAGACGAGAGTGCTACGCTGTCATTTGCATCACGTATCGATGAATCTTCAAAAAAAAGGCCTTATGAAAGGACGAGCAACTGCATTTGGGAAAGTAATATTAAGCGTACACAGAAAAAACCAAATTTGCTTCTGCTATACCCTTTATACATCAAAGGGTTACGTGGAAATGTGGAGTATAGACAAGCGGACGAAGCCACTGCTATCCGTCAATGCGCATGCAGTTAGTGGAATCAACAGCTTTTTCTACACCGGGATAAATTCCACGTTGACTCACAAGCCACTAGTTATCATTTCAAACCATCGAGAATTCAGAAAGCTTTGGGTGTGCAAATAGTGGTTCACATAACTTCGCACAGTTTGCCTATTTAAGTTTTACTTGAGGACACAATAAGGAAAGGCTAACACGCAGCCCTCCGACTGAAACAGGTTAACATACCAGGTGCTTCACCAAAGGAGTCAACTCGTCTACAACGTAGGGTTGCAGATGATTTCGACAAATTATAGCATATCTCATAAGACAGATACGAAGATACGTGGAATACAATTTTTTGGATTTATTTAAATAACGTGGATCGTCGTGTGGTGATAAGTCAGTAAAGTAAAAGCCACGTGGATGAGTCTTACTGACACCAACAATGTCCTTGCATTGCATGTGGAGTTCAGCATCATATCAATCTGCACTCCTAATGACACCTCTTGTGATGCCTCCATTCGATTCGTCACTATTTTGTTGTTCATTGACTTGTTTGTTCGCTCATTAAGCAGACATCCAAATAAGCGGAACTCAGATAACACAAATCGACCTCTGTATGTAAAACCAGCTGCATTCGTCTTGTTTTTACACAGCTACTCACAGCACTTCTCTCTGGACAAGGGAGCCACAGTTACACCAAATGCGGCTGTTCAATGATACGCATGACAACGCTAACTCTAGGCTAAAGGAAACCAAACACATTCACGTGTTGTAGTCGCTAACACTAAGATCGCTATTTCAAATAACCGTCGACTCATAAAGCTACGTCACAAGTGTGTCGATTTAACACACACATTCCCATTCCTACTGTCATGATGGAAGCAAATAACCTGAAGCAATTTACCAGTGTCCACTTTGCTCGAAGTTCTGATGTTCACACCTGATGTCTCGGTGTATCCTGCCTTGTTGTGAAATCGGATTTCCACACTAGATGAAATAGAGAAGAAGTGCCCATAGAAGGTGCCTTATGAGAGAGCACTGGAGGAATAAATAACTCACACGTAATCAGTTGAGGGCTTCAGTGGACCATTGAATGAGTTATCGGGTTGAATCGGTCTTTTATTGGCACCCAAAGTAAACACATAATCGTCCATGTTCTGACTCACACCGCCAGTCCGTGAAATCGCAATGACCTCCCAGGACTTAGAAAGACCCTGAGCGTAGGCGTAGTAGGGCTGTAATGAAAAAAAACATACGCACACGTTGAAGGTGCGTCATTTGCTGACAAAGCAGTGCTGCTTTCCACTACCCTACCATTCCGTCGGACGTCTTGGCAGAAGCACCAGCGGACTCCTCCTCGACTAACACACCCACATGGGAGACTGGGCTGTATTGGGTGAAGTCGATAGCCGAGAGCTTGAGGTAAATGTTGCATTCGGTCGTGTTATCCGAGACTGGAAGTGAAGAAGGCGGAGGGGAGAGAAGATGCTGGGTGATGACCTCCACAACCGCAGAAGGTAATTCTGTTAGTGCAAAAGCATGACTATGCGAGTACGTGGGTTGCATATACTACCACCTAGCCTTCTTGTGTGACTTTCTGGCTCTCTAATTTCCTAAGTTCTTATCCAAGGGCGATTGTGGTGGCAGGACCGCGGCGCACGATTTGGATGTGAGGTGTGAGACACAGAGTAAAGTGACACTGATTGGTGGGATTTGACGTGTCCAGGGGAGCAGAAGGGCAAGAACAATGAGGTGTGTCGACGTGTCTGTCGTGAGCGGCGGGGTTGTGACTGATGCTGGTTGCTAACCGATTCGGCAAGGGTGAGCCACTTGAGCAGGGGTGAGTGACTGATAATGCGCGTGGTAAGAGTGACACGGAAGATGTGCCCACACGAGTGCATGAACTGACGTGACTGCAGATGCGATGGCCGCTGTGACATGTGAGCTGGACAGGCACACGGATTATAGGAAAAGGTGAAGTACACGGGTGCCTGAACATGCGGTGACAGAGATGAGGGAGGTGCATCAGAGCAAGCCACTGCTTCTGCATCCCAATCTAACCTCTCATCTAAACATCTCATTCTGCCCAAAAACAAACTGTTGCAGTGTCATTGAGCTTCGCTCAGATGCTAGAAATTGGTCCACTATCTAATTGACCCGTTTCTCAAAATAAGCATTCAAGAACCAATTGTTAAACAACTTACTTGCTTCAGTCAATTTAACCTGTATCGTGAGAACCGGACCCTCTTCAATTGTCACTGCGCTCACAGACAGACTGAACGTGTGATCGAAATTCAGATTCCGCTCAATAGTCGTTGCTGGGTTAGTGGAGTCGCCCTCGAATACAACTCTGTCGGAATCGTGCTTGTCAACCAACTTGATTTTGTAGTTTCGAATGAGCCCGTTTTTGTTCACCGGCTCCTGCCAACGACAGACAAGCCTGGACGAGCCAGCCGGATCCTGTGCACACGTCAAGTCACCAACAGGTCCCGGAGCTGTGGGAGTAGGAAGGGTGAGGGAAGGAGCTAAAATAATAACGGTTTACCGACTATGTTACAACCTCTTCGTCCCTGGACCATCTTAAATCAAAGGAATTAAAAACTGTCAACATGGTATGCGCCTAAACGGACCCGATATGCACGCACCATAATCCGCACTAATTCCATTTATTTGCACTACAGTCCCAAGTACCCACACCGAAGCCTCGGTTTTGACAACTACTGCTGATGAGAACATCGACCGCCATCTTAGCTGCGTTAACAAGTTGATTATTATTCAAGTACCGAAGGAACCAGTGACAGACGTGCAAGTTGTTTGCCTAATACACAAATGAAAATGATTTACTAGACCTTCCACGGCACTCTTCCTGGTTGCTTGCTTCATCGTTCTGTGGATTTCCACAGTTGCTGGGGAGTCTCATGCGCTTGTAGGCACAAATATGTCCAATACTCATGACTCCTATCAGAACCAAAGAACCGCTTTCCGATGGTCTCCTACACAATCTGACAGTAAGCACAAAAATCCCGAACAATGATCTCCTTCCTCAACTAACATGGCTTGCGACCCACCGCGATTTAGTATGATTCACTAATGTGATATTAATCATTGGCATTTCATGCGCTTGCAAAGATAAGCGTAGGTAAATGACATTGGTGCAGTTGTTATAGACCCAAATGCCGGTCCGCCTCTTCGTCGCCACCCCGCCACGACCGTTATCCTTGGCAGACTAGGCGCATCGTCAAGATAACATCCTGAAATCCCGTCTGAGGTGCTACGCACAACTTAATTTCAACGAACGATGCCCATCCCAATGACACTCTCCTTCTGACAGCACACATGCTCATCACCAGCAAGTGTACGATGCAAAGGCGGATACCTGCTGTGGCGACTCCACATTGTGGATCCATTTACACTACATTGGTGATTATCGATGCATGTCACGTAGATTGCTCCCAGCGCAGTGGACATTTACTAGAACACGCCGGCTCGCGTTGTAAGAGAAGCACCACTCCACAGTCCAGCTTGCTCTGCCAGTGAAATACAAACATTCACAAACATGCCAATGTCTGGAACCTGGGTCTAGCTGTCTAGACCCGGACACGTCTTCGTCGATGCTGTCCACCTCACGCTGCCGCGTGCCGATCCCTCCAGTCTCAAAAACACAGCTTGATTTGCACAATGCTGACCGTTTGAAATGACCAGCTCTCGCCTATTTACTCAGTAGGAATTTTGGAATCGGACACATTAAATCAGCAAACAGCAGCCCGATACACAAAATTAGTTTTAGCCAAATGGCACGTCAGATTGAGGTGGGTAACATAGGGGAAGTAAACCCTTGGCACGATTCAACGCCTCCTCGACTGGGTGTCCAGTCATGTATTGAGACATCAAGTACTGGGCATGTCTTTTGTGAGTATTGCGTCACCATCAAATCAAACTTATGAGTCGTTAGCACAGTGCTGTCGTACCACCTGGCCAAGTATCAAGTGGTTGGCACCATTACCATTGGATCTAGGTCCTAAAAAGTTGTTACTCTCGCCTGCTGATTCCGAGTGTACGAGAGCCACTTATCGAAAATAAATAAGCAAAATACAGCTGAAAATAAGGTTTACCAGCTTCCATGGTCGTAATTTGCTTCGTTGGACTAATTTGACCGATCCCACCGCCTTGGCCACGTTCATTGGCTGCTGTAGCAGCCCGAACGGCTGCGAAGATGCGCGTGTATGGCTTAAGTCCAACGAAGGAATGCGTGAATGTGTTGACAGCAACTGTAACAGGTGCACATGTAGTTTGCCAAAAAATTTTCTATGTCCTCTCAACAAAACGCTTAAGGAACTAAATTCAAATCAACTGAGGTTCAAAGGACGACAGAACAGCAAATAGGCGTCACGTTGTTGCGGTGTAGAGGCCTGCAAGTGCCTTACAAGGACTGATGTTATCAACAAAACTCGCGTCACCTACCAGCAGACAACGTTGAGGCACTTCGAGGATAGGAATATTGGCTGTAGCCTCCGCCATGTCCCTCCTCGTTCGGCAGGACATAACCACGAACAGTGACTTCGTAGTGTGTGTCGGGCTCCAAGTCAGTGATCCTGTACGATCGCGAGTCTGCGGTTACGTTGGCCACATGCCGCCAGTCTGGTTCGTTAACCGAGTCTGGAATGTAGAGTCCAACGGAGATGGTGAAGCCCCCCAGAATTCCTTCCACAGTTTGGGGTTCGTACCAGAACACGTCTAGCGAGTTAGCGTCAACGGCCACCACATCTTTAACGACTAATCCTTGTAAGGCTAGAATATAAAATGTAAGGCTAACATTGGCCTGTTGTGTCTTTACCAGCTTACTACGTCTCTTAAGGTTAACGGCAAATTAATAATAATTAGGGCAATTCGTACTTTTGGGAAATCTTGGAAATGATTAGGCACAAAGCCAGCCTCAGCTAACGAAAATCAAAATGACATAATGTGCAGTTTTGAAAGCCAGAAGATTATTCAACTCCGCTGATGTCGAAGCATGATTCATATCGTTGCATGCATCAAGAGAACACGCTTAAACACACCATAACGTCGAGGCGATTTTCGTGTTGCATCTTGCCTCATGTAAAGCTGGACTAAGCGAGCGGTCTTTCCTTATGAACGATATCATGCTCTCAAGGTGATTATGAACGCCACGTGAGAGCTTGTCTTGTCTACACGTATTTACACAACCTCAATGCATGCCACACATATCAAAGTCGTATTTTTCGTCAGCCATCGCCAGACCGTGTCAACAGAAGATGTCCGCAAACACTAGAATTGAACTGCTCTCCATACTGGAACAAATTGTAGCTTGGTGTTAATGAAAGTGCAATTTAGACAACAGCACGTACTTCCAGGCCATGTTTTGACGGGAGTCGACCTCGTTGACGTACTGGTGAGAGAATCGCCCCATTGAGTGATCAGTGGCTTTGTGCCTGCTTCAACGTAACACTCGTAGTTTGTGTTCGGTCGCAGTCCCCTTACTTCGACTGACGTCGTCGCGTTGTCCTTCGTGGTAGCAGAGCGAGGCCAGTTCTCACCGACCTTAGTGCAGTGCGCCCTGTATGGCTCGAGAGGTCCGTTTGTGTGTGCTGGTGGCGACCACGAGACCATGATGGAGCTCGAACTTATTGCCTTAATAGTGATGTCGGTTGGTGGCGAGGGAGCTAGAATGGGAGTCGAAATATGCCTTGTCAGCAACTGGCCATTCTGATGTGATTTTAACTTTCCAAGTGTAGTGCAAATTGTCTAAGGTCGCAACGTGATGTGCGCCAAGCTCGACGCAAGTGCTTGCATGATTAGACAACTACCAAGTGTTAAAGTGGATTTGGATTTCAACGATAAACGACTGCTTCGCTCATTACTGTTTAATGCCAGCAGCAGAGAACTGGGCAGAGTTACTAACCGGCTGTGAAGGATACGCGTAACTACCTTGCCTTTCCATCGCAATCGTCTCCACAATGCACTGACCAATACTGCTTTGACAAATCGGGCAAATGCTCTTGGGCATCATTCTAACATGGGCTTGGGTATGGAAGCTTCTTCTGCCAGTGGAGTGCACGCTGAATACTGAAGGAACCCTAAAATGTCATGTCAACACAAATTCTATTGAGTCCACTCACTCGGTTACAATGGATGTATGTATGGATGTGGGTGTGTGTATGTAGGTGTGTATGCATGTAGGTAGGTAGGTGTGTGAATGCGAGGATTCAGGCTTAGAAGTTTTACAAAGAGTTGTAGTGGACTGACAGCCGCCCCGCGCGAGTGTGCGTGCATGAAGGCCCGTGTGTAGCGATGACTCATCCCCTTTTGTTATTGATTTTTGTTAGCATTCGCCTGTTACGCGTGCTCATACGCACACAAAGCCACTTGGCTGGTTCGACTCTAATAAACAGTCGTGTTCTCTGTCGCCTCCTTTTTCCTATCCTCGGGTAGCTACGGGCTGTTAACTAGAGGGTTGTAAGGTAGTGCTAAATCCTCTAGTCACTACAGAGTCACAGCTTCCGTTTAACACGTATGCCGTGAATGTAATCAACACACAGAAAATAAGGCATAGAACGACGCTTCAATGGCGAGGCGACTTGATCACTTGAGGACACTGCACGTCTTGGAGCGTTGTCTTGTGGTATGGGCTTGGCGACTTTCAATATGCAACACCAAGCTCCCTTCCTCCTTCCCTTCGCCACAAACGAGATCTCTTGGTCACTCCTCTTGATTGACAAGGCAGGCTGTGCTGTCAACATGCTCTGCACAAGTCTACGTGGGATTTTCGTACGACAAGCATTCAGGTCACCCATTGCTGTGTGCTATGCGAACGAAGAAAATTGTCGGAGAGAGAGTCACAGGTGCATCTGCAGTGCCAGTGTGCGAACAAGTGTGACATTCCAACCACTGTTTTAACGTTAATGCAGAATAACCGATACAACGAAGGCCACCAAAGCCAAAGAGTCATCAATAGTGAGGAAACTGGTCACTTACCTGA